AGTTATGAACAAGGAAGTATCAAGCAATAGTTGTATACTATCTCCTAATTATATATTCTGATAGTTACAAAGGTGAAGGTTTAATATAATTTGAAAATAATTCTGATCACAAGTCCGAGCTATTTGAAGAAATATCAGAAACCATGGAGTACTGAATGGCTTTCACATCCTTATTTTGAAGAGTTCAAAAGTTCCCATTCATGATCCAATAGAAGATAGAATCTAAACTCCACAAGATCTTTTAGATCACGACAATATTGAGTCATTATGCCTAGTTCAGTTAACTACCTGTGTAGCTAGGTCCTCATTCTCTCTTCTCATTGCGCCACTGTCTTACTCCATACTTAGTTGATTAGAGAGATCTAAACATTTTACTAGGAATTTAGGGCATACAGTAATGAATATACCCTTACTACTAATCATATAGGTTCTTTGGATATTCACTTACATCTCTCAACAGAGGCTTTAGGTTAACCATCTCTCATTGTTAGGATCTATAGAATAGTTTCTAAAGCCTGACATTATTAATTTGTATGGTCTAAGATACAGGGTCAGATGAAATATTTATTATTATAATGGTGATTCCTTACAATTTGATTAGCTGCTACACTAATCAATAAAAGTTATGATCATATGAATCTTCGAACGTGACTTTATTTTCTAATAAACCAATAATTAATGTAGAGTGAAATTTGTGCCTCATGGTGTTCTGGCACTGTTTTAAAAGGAAAAGTTCAGTTTCTAGTTTGTTGTTATCTACCTTGATGTAACAGGCCTTCACTACACAATTCATTTTTAAAAATAAAATAGTGAAATATCGAAAATAGTAGTCTAAGTGAGGATTAGTTGCCTATCGTAATTATCTAATCACTAAGCCAATTGGAGTGGAATAAGAAAATATCCATTAGCATTTGCTGTAATACATGTCTAAATATTTGCCACTGAAGTTCTGTTAGGATTTATGTACTCGATTATGAAGCATATTTACTATGTAAAAGTAATTCTTATTTACGAGATAAATAGATCTGCATAGTTCTTATTTCGAAATAGTTAAAAACCCATAGGTATAATCAAATAATCAAGTTACTTAAAAGTCAGATTAGCATTCACGATAATTTAATGGTGTGAGAATTCTCATTGTTTCATTGTTTCAAATGGTTTAAGTTGCGTATTAAATTTCATTTCAAAATCATCTTTAGCGAGAAAAAGTGATTATGTGAACAATCAAAACAAATTAGCTAAAGACAACCTTCCTGTTTTTAGTTACATGAGGTAGATCGACAAAGTATTGATAATCACTTACGGTTTCACAATAACATCAATAGCAACTAAATACACTCAAGTGGGCAATTATTTTGTCAAGAAATAAAGTGAGTGAAATTCGACAAACCTGGTCCACTTGACAAGAAGAAAAACAGAATAGCAATCGAGACAAGTAAAGGAATAACATTAAAATACAGATCCTACATAATTATCCAGATGCTTGATGGTGACAAGGACACAAATAGAGGTTAAAACTAAACAAAGAAATAGAAATAACGAAAACATACTCAATACACACAATAAACCATAGATAATTACTTCATTATTAAAGTTTAACAGAATGAATAAAAAACACAACTGGAAAACACAAGTTATTTCTAGTTGTTTCTTTCTCTTTCAAACGATTACTTTATTAAGCGAAAAAAAAGACAGTAAAATAAAAACAATCATCAAAAGAGAACTACTTTCAACTACTTTATTATTAGAAAAAAAGATCATTATTAAACACTATAATTGGGTGAACAATACATCCCGGCAACAAACCGTATGTGCATTTACATACATATCAGTAAAAATACAATAAGACTCACACAGATGAAGCACATCTTATTCTGTGTCTAGTAAACTGATAGCAGTTAGTTAAAGAGAAAACATAAAATAAAAAAGATAATGGGAATGAAAAAGCACGATACTTGGGTAAATGTATAATAGTAATGGTAGTACTACCAATGAATAACGTTTAAAAATATGGGATAATTGTGTATTCACTGTTCAAGAGGGATATATGCAAATACATTTACTATACCACAGCTTCTAACGTAAGTGTCTAGTTACCAATATTTATTTTTTTAATAAGAGTCAGACAAGGATTGAAACAATAGGGATTTAAAAACTATGGCATTAAATGTCGAAAGTTAAATTGGTTAACAACACTACTGAACCATTAATAATAATAATAATAATAATAATAATAATAATAATAATAATAATAATAATAATAATAATAATAATAATAATATGCAAGTAAGAGAGATTCAGGTAAAAAAAGACAACAATATATTGATATTGTTATTGTCGTTAAGCTTACCATTTAACTGATCTATCTTATCGAAACTTTCTAACAGACTTCGAGTTGTGTCACATGAATCAAACTTATTCATGGATCGTAAGAGCAGATATCAAAATAGCACAATTATCTCTAATGGGTTCACTTATTATTGTCCCATAAGTTAGGCTTAGATAACTTAATTCATAATTTACTACATAAATGAAGTTCATGTGGTTCAACCAAATTTTTCTGAATCAAGATATCATTTTAAATGTAATTAATTCATAATAAACACAGATAACTGAATTAAAATGGGATAAAATTTCATTGATCTTGTGACTTAATTCTTGGATGAGTAACTAGGTTTTATCAATACTTAATTAGTTTATGAGTAGTTTTTTTTCTGTTATTTATCAAGGAGGTCTTTTAACTCAATCAGTTATAAAACTTGACGGAGCATTTGATAGAACGAAATTTTTCACGGTATTTTCATTGCTCTTTTTCAATATACTATTTATTGTATAATATTAGAAATAGTAGCCAAGTTATCCTAAAGCATTCAATTAAAAGTAAATGCATAAAGAGGTCTTTTGTGTTATAAAGTTTTTATTTATAAAGTTGCTTCTTGAATCTATAACTTTTTAATCATAGAATGAATATAGGTAACTTTTCTTTTCTCATCCTTATTAAATCCCTTATCAACCAATTATTTTACTACCGTAGTTGGTAACTTTTTTTAATGACTTTAGTATTTACGAATGGGTGTTTACAGGGGTGTAATTAGTATCTTTTCTTTCCAAATCACATTGACAAACATTGACTGAATTAACATATTGAAATCTTCTATGGTATTATAATCACTATTAAGTGAAGTTGCTTTCAGTCCTAGCATAGATTATTTTTAAATTAGGTATTCAATCACTTTCTTTTAATTTTGCATGGTAAAGTAAAATAAATAAATAAAATTATCAATGTGCATATTTGATATCGTTGGATTCGGTTCATTCCCTACCGCATCCTTTGTAAGATTTAATTTTACTTTATATATAAATTTCAATATAAAATCTTAAAACTAGTGGATTTCATTTTCATCTATAGACTAATCCCCATTGATTCAAGCACTTTGTTCTATAAGATCAATTGTGTTTGCTTTAAAATAAAATGTTCAGTTATCCAGACGGTTTTTTAATATACCATACCTGGTTTTGTAGGATTCACAATAAACTGTTTTCAAAGCCTAATTCTCAAAACGTTGTGTCCGTTTTTGTTTTTGTTTTGCTTCTGAGTGCAAATATTTCTTATTACAGTATAGTCTATCAAAAGAACACACATTATTTCCAGCAAATAAGATATCCGATCTGTATCATATTAGCTGTAACGTCTAAGAGTTAAAAATGTGCTTTTTCCAGATTGATCAATAATAATCACTTTCAGATGCCTATTCAGTCATATATTGTAACAGTTGAATTCATCAGTCGATTTAAGCTAGACCATATATTCTCTAGAAATCATTATTTCAATATTATTGAAAATGTGTAGCAGTTTTATTTGTTAAGTATTTCACCTTATACATTTGATCTTATCTAGAAAATGTTAACTTTGTAAGTTATTTCTTTTCACGTGATTAAACATCATAGGAAAAGCTATAAATGTTACCATAAAGAGATGAAAGCTTCTTGTTTCTCTTTTAAATTTTAACTTTCCATCAGTTTTCAACATTTTACCATTACTTTCTAAATCTTAGTATCCCTCTTGGGTTATATAATCATACTTCTAGAAAGAAACTTCACTTCAGTTATCTATCCAATTAACTTTACTACTCAGAATGTATGTTTTCAATATTCTAACATTAATGTTACATGCTTTATGTTACAATTGATTAAACCAAGAGAATAAATTTACAGGATTGTAAAGAAATGATGTCATCCATTCTACATTTTTTTCTGAATAGTATGTATATTATAGTAACTGACTTTCATTCATCATCTGTAATTTACTATATATTCATAATTTAGTATATAAGTATAACATGAAGGTCTCAATACCTTCTGAGGCGTAGTTCCATTCAACTATAGCGTTTAGCTCAAAACTGTAGTATTATATAAGTAAACGATTCAATTTTCAACTTAATAATATTAGAAAAAAGCTATTATAAACTATTGTGATATTAGGATGAAACGAATCGATTTTTGGAGATGGAAAACTGATTATAAACTAATGGGAATGTTGGTGAACAGAAACTTCTATTTCCAAAAATCAAATCATCTAGCACAAATCAAAACAGATCGTGTAGTACTGTTTTCGTTTTATTATAGTACAGATTTACAAGCTATCAATTCTATTTATAAATGAAGTATAGTTACATGCAAAAAATGGGTCATAGTTGAAAAACGGATACATGTTAGTGTGGAGGTACAAATTAGCGAATCTTCTTATGGAGTTTAAAATGATAACTATGATTAGGATGTAGAGTTATAAGTTTTAGCACCGTATCTCTCACATTTATCAGTCAGTAGTTAACTTCATGATGTACTCATGTACGGCGAATAAAATTATGGATATTAATCAAAGGCGATAAATGAATAAGTAGAAAAGCATTAAATGTAAATATATATTTGTTATTAAATCCTAATTTTTGACATCACATTTATTACCATTAGTGTTATTATTATCATTGTTATTTGTTTAGCTACAGTAAGAACAGGCAGAATTTATAAGGAAATGAAACGATTAGGATCAAGACATCAAAATCTCTGTGAATATTCAACTATTAATCGTCCTTTTCCCAGTCGTAACAACTATCCGATTCCAGAAGATCTTCAAAGAAACAAAATGAAAAGGGCAACACATGAAATAAACTCTCATGGATTTAGTGATAAATTTAAAAGTAAGTTTTTCAAATTTGCATCCTTTAGTTTTGTATGATGTCGGTTTATTGAATATAAATTTATGACCATCTTTGTAAATAGAATCTTTTTCAAGTAGACAGTACTTATATTTCTAATGGATCACTGTAGTACGTTATTCACGTTTATCTTACCCTAAGTAGTAGATGAAACATACAAGAAACAAAACATTCGTTTGTATGTCATTTATACTATTTAGAGTAATATGATTAGAAGTTACTTTGTCACTAATTTCGGAATAACTGTAAAATCAGTGGCTTTTTGTTGTGGTTAGGGAAGGAAATTATACGCTGATCTCGTGATCACTATTATTATAAAAGATATTGAGAATTTTCCATAACAAAACGTGTAGTTGTACAAGACCAATGAAAAGATGTACTTCCATTAGTAACCATCAATCTTCATTTTATTAAGTGGGAGCTCTGTTTTTTAACTTTGGTTGTTTGATTAAGATTCGCTGACGATTTTGGTTTATTTTCATTTAAAAATATGTTCTTCAAGTAAATCACCTTACATACACATAGTTTCCTTTATCATATTGAAAGGAGCAAGAACAAAAATTTAAGCGAACCAACATAAATTCATTTTGTTTCGTTAGGTCCTCCTCAGTGATCTACGATTTGTAATATTCAAAAATCATAATTACAAAATGGACTGAAAATGCTTACATAAATGAGTTTTGTTTGTTGTTTTGATCACATAATACGGTATAATATCAAGGATGTAAGGAAATTCAAGAAATTCAGTAAAGATACTAAAGATATATATGATGTCAAAGAACAGTCCACTAAATGAACAGTAACAAAAAACTGAATGAGTAAAAATAAGTGTTTATGTAACGAGCAAACACTAATAATAAGTAAGGATAAACTGAGTAACGCTTAGTTAATCCAAATAAAATTTTCATAGTTTACATCACAGATTGATCTTAAGCAACTACTGAAGGCCAGAGAGTTGTCTTGTTCTAGGATGGGGCCGGGCATGTACGACTACACTGAGAGTCAAGATTATGGCTTTTGTCTGGTATTGAGCGTTTAACCTCTAGACTACCAAGCGGGCACTCAACAATCTCCATGGGTCCATTACACTGATAATAAACGTGTATTCATTAGCAATTAACTCCGAGATGTGAATTCAGGAGTTCTGATGAAGAACCAAGATCAGTGAAGCTCAACAACTTTGAATGCGAAACAGGAATTCCCAAAAGACACTAGAACACAGTCTCATAGTCTCGCGAATTGATTGAAGTTAGGCATTTATACCATTGAATGTCGGACCATTATTCTAAAGGTTAAGATCTCGCTGTAAATCAAAGACCTCAGGTTTGATCTGTGGTTAGTCCATGAATGTGTAATCTTGAAGAGTCTCATCCTAGGACGATACAGCTAACCAGCGCTCCTTGGTTTTTAATGATTTTCCAACTAATACCAATGCGAGATATAAACTATGAAAATTCGACGTTCTCCCCAAACTTTATATTCATAAAGTAAAGTAATTAATTTAAAGAGAGTTGGAAAAAGGACTGACGATGTAATCGGTTAACATAAAGAGTCGAACGAGATTTTGTGATGCCACAAACAAATAATGTTATCGGGGTAGAGAAAGATTGACAAACTGTCTTCTATTGAATACACAATTCAAGTTTCTGACATCTGATAACTTTCGGTCAGCTTACTGTATTTTCAAAATCCACTCTGCTTCCGCTGGTATTTTGAATGCTTTGCTCTCATGGTAAGAAAAGTTACTGTCGATCGGTAATTATTTCCTTTTTGAATCATTCAGTTGGATCTTTTGAAATGAGTATAACTTGAGTAAAACGTTCCAAACTACTTGTAAGTAGTCTTATCATTTTTATCTGAAATCAGATCATTTTAAGATTTTTACTTGATTGCTTTCTAGAACACAACATTCTATCAACTCGATTTTCGCCACCGATGTTGGTTCGGGAAGAATTGGCCCCTATTACATCGGAAACAGTAAATATTACAAATAATGCTACTAAATCATTAAAACTTCCTCGATCGACTCAAAAGACAAATGACAAGTCATCTTCTCCGACTGAAAGCTCAATAAAATCTTTCAGTTCAATTAGCGACACGAGTGGGATAGGATTTTCACCATATGAATCAACTTATTTACTGTCTTCAATTAATGAGGCATATGCAAAATTATTGGCAAGGCAAGCATATTTGGATAAAATGACATTTAATGCAACAACTACTTCAAATAATTTAAATTCATTGACCAATATTGCAGTGAATACTCCTGGTTTCGTGACGACTATCCCTCAAAATGTTGGTAGTACAGAAAGGAGTAAGAATACGAATCTAATTAATACTGGTACGCAGATGAAGGACAATCACATTCCACACTCCTTGGAGACATTTTCACCTGTCTCGTTATTCTCAACATTATTGCATTGCAATAGTGTTGACAGTCGAATTAGTTCGAATATTATCCCCACTAAACATCAAGATGTCAATTACAATACTACCGCATATCCGTCTGTGTTAAACTTAGAAGCCATCGGACCTAGTATAAATTCGGTGAAAACTCCTTTCCAACTACAGGAAGCGCATGGCACTGTTACTCCTGTTCGAATTAATTATTTAGATACATCTGGTTGTAGGAATACTAGCAATAACTCTCAAACAGATAATGCACAAAATCAATTAGACTGTCTTCGGAGTGTACCACAAAACAGTGCATCATGTGATAGACCTTGCCAGTCAAATGATTCATCCTGTTCATTATTATCATCATTTTTATATTCAAATATGACTCCAGAGTTAAACTCAACAAAATTTAACCCAAATGAAAGTAAAAGTAATGTACAACCAGGTTATTCGAAATGGGAAGAATTTGATTATCGTCATTATTATAATGCATTTACAACATTTCTTTCAGGAATTTTAAACATGTCAGGTATAAATCCTAATTGTTTGGGGACCAAAAAAGTGAATGAAACTACTTGTGATAATGATAATTTCCGAAATATACATTCTAGTTTCAACAAAATGAAATGGAATCGACATGTTCTTAATAATAAAAATAACATTACGTCATGTTTAAACAATGAATCTACAGATATGGACTCAACACTGAACCAAACACCTGATAAGAACGACTCATCAAATCATGTGCTAAGTATAGAACATTTGTTAGATTTGAATACACACGGTACTGCAAACAGTGATACAGATCGTAGTAAACATGACAATAAACATATGTTAGCAGATGAATGTAGTCCTGATTATTCAAATTTCATGAGTACCCCCAATAATAAGCATAATTATGTAAATTATTTTCCTCAAACTGTACCAGGTCCATTGTTGATCAAATCAATTTTGGCCCGTCATTTAATCGAAAATAAATCGTTCAGAGTTTGAAACTAATTTATTATATTTGTAGAAGGTTAAAATAGTGAATTTAGGAGGCAGCACAAGTGATCTTCATCTGTTTTCATCACAATTATGGCACATAGAGACTATGTAAACATACACAAGCGTATACAAACTTTTACAATATTGTATTACGTTAACATTTTACCTCATATATATAAGTGAAGATTTATTGTATTCCTCAAATTCACGTACACAGTAATAAAGCTATTTGTTATCTCCTTTAGATGTGTTTCATTTATTTTTTTTTGCAAAATAGAGTTAAGTAAACATTATTATTGGGAAGACGTACTAAACTGCTACTTTTCTTATTTATGCCCATACGTGTCTCGTTCAATACTCCAGTGATTATATTTATTACAGATAGGCTTTATGATCGATTTTGTACATCTTACCAAGAAACCATAACAATTAAGTTTCACTTTATGACAGTCTTTTCTGCAAATCGCATGAATTAGGTCACCTGAATTAATAATATTTTTCATTGGGATGGTTACGTCCCTGATCTGTCTACCCACTTCTATGCAGATGATAACTTGCCTAAATCTATATTAAGACATTGACGCGATAGGTGGACTGGCTTAACTTTGAGGCTAATATGAGTGAGTTCGAAGTGAGCCCAACTGCTTGGAGTAGAGACGAAAACTATCCTATCACCTGATTGGCTGAAAAGTACGAGAGACAGAGAAGACAAGTCAACTGGAACACTACTCGATCTATTCCCAATTCCGATCTGGTTCCGATTAGTGTAAAAAGATACGTGGATAAGTAGATGACTAAACAGACCACAACGCTCAAACAATTAGGAAAAAAACAATTACATCCAAAACTGGAGATCAGGGTAGAAAATAGAGTGCAAAAGAGTACGTTTAAATTATAAATAGCTTTGGAACAGAAAAGGTTATGGCAGTGAATCATACATAAAACGAAAGCTTATGGTCTGCAGAATACACTAAGGACAAGAATAAATATTACTGCTTTATAAGCTTTGAATTAAACGAAATAACGTCCCCAAAAGTAGATTCCGTAGTTTGTTAAGGCTTCTTCTTTCTCTGTTCACACAATGGATATTATTAATTCCAAAGGTATATCAGTCAATAGGTGAAGAGAGTATCCAAGTTTAGTTCTCCAGTCGTAAGTATGTAGACAAATGGTATATAAAGCTCTTATAATTAAAATGGTGATTATTAAACAACTACGAATTTTAACGTGATTAGGAAGACATACTCTCAGTTAAAATATTACTGGGAATCCCATAAATATATAATACTCCTAATTTACAGCGAAACTTTGTGTTTCATGGAGCCCGGCAAAGAACCTTACTATCATTCGCAGGTATCATATATGGGTTTTAATAGATCAAGGCTTCTTACATACTTTCCTTGACTTTCAAGTTTATAAACGATTCCTACAATAATAAATCCGTTTACTTTAAGCGGAATCAAAATGAACTTGAGAGTACTAGTAATTAGAAACAAATACTATCCTAATTTAGTTAGAAGTCACCAGCATAGATATCACATAATGTATTCTTACTATGCATGCTACATAATGTAATTTCATGGCCGCATTCATTTGGAAAAGGTGAAGCAAACAATTTTATGAAGAGAACCGTCATTCAAATAGAATTAGAAATGAGTTGCAAGTGTGTAATTTTCCAATTCAGAATCGTGTACTACCACTACTGATTTACAGCTCCTGAAAGTCTTTTTCTGAATATTAAGTGATTGTTCGTAAATGATTTCGGAATATTTCAAACTATTTTATCAATGTTGGGATGTATATGACAAATAACTAATCACTTGAAAACCTATAAATCTTAAAAAGTCTCTGATAAATATAAAACAAACGGTGTTACCAAATTATCTACACTAAATCATTTACGATACAGTTCGAATTTACAGGTTGGGACTTCTAACTCGGTTTTAATCGTTAAACTATGAGTTTATCATAAACAATTTTTGTTTATTAACTAAGTTAATTACCATTCATAATATATAAATATTCTTCTCTCGGTTCATACAAAACTAGATTAACTCAATCGCTTGTTTTATGTTAAAAATATTTAATGAACACACCATGCTGATAGCTTAGTTTCAAAATAACATGCCAATATTAGAAAACAAATAAGTGAAGTGTAAACTGGGAAATATTAAAGTAAGCCAAATTTCATGGGATTTTTTATTCTAATTTAAAAAGATACTTATTATATCCGTTTATCCTATTGTTTTAGCATTTCCATTAATTTTATTACTATTTCCTTTGTAATTCACAGTACTACTGTTATTATTGACAGTAGTTTGAAGGTGTTAATAACAACGGAAATTTCTTCTTTCCTAGAGAAAAAGATTGAACAAAACATTTAGTATCATGAAACATCAATTTCGAGAGACAAATATTTCTCCCCTATTCAATTATATTATATATATAATTGACTTCAGTTACACACGAATGGTTAACTGAAATTGTCCTGTAAATTTGGGAAAAGAAAAATGTTTATTATTAGTTAAACTGTGTTGACAGAAATCGGTTTGCTTATATTTTCCAAGCAAGCGTTTTCAGGAAATGTTGAAAAACAAAGAGTGCTACAATAATTAATCATATTTATTTTTCGTTCCTATAGTTTACCGAGTTACTGGAACAATATAACTGGTAACAATGGAAAAAGACTTATGAATTCAGCGATGCATATACTGCATTTCAATGGGAGAGAACCAATGTGGGAGAGATAGAAAAGTTAATTTATTTACAATATATTTTACTAGTGTTTCCTGACAAACTTTCTAGTCTTATAATCGTTACGCAGTTGGTGCTTAAGTGCTCTCAATAAAATCCCTGTTATTTACATATGATTACTTGAAACAAGTTTGATCTGCAGCAAATGATCACACTTTTAAACTCCTTATTCAATTTTTGGTAGACCAGAATACTGGGTCTTATGGCTAAAAGGAAGTTCCAAACATTCAGTTTTTTTTACCAATAAAAATAATATATTTGTAATACCCCAATCGTATTGTCTGATGTTTAGTGGCTCAGTGTAAGCCATTTCAAATCAAATTAATCCTAGTCTAAATAGTACAAATGAACAAGGTACAAAATAGGCCCGACTAAGTCAATGCCATTCCAGTCAAGGTGATTTATATGAGATATATTTGTGTGTTAATGGGTAAAACATGTAGAACTTGTAATGTGGAAAAGATAGAGTTGACTTAGTGTGTGTAACAAGTGTGAGATGTGAATAGAACCAGGCGTGATAGCTTGAATAGATGGTCCAAGTCAGTTTTTTGACCAATAATTATTACGAAAATCCTCACCTTTCGGGAGCTCTTAAATGTAAATACTACCCGACTTCAATTTATTGGATACTTTGAGGAATGACAATACAATACGAGATTCTTCAGAAATCACAAGACCGATGCCCCTTCTAACAACCAGAGAAACAATTAATATAGGTACATAAAATGTTCTGACAATCTTGGAGAATCAGTCAAATAGCTACAGAAATGAGGAGATACAACTTGACGGTTCTTGGAATCCGTGAGACCCATTGGACAGAAAATGATAGATTCGGGAGAGATGCTGCTGTACTCCAGGCACGAAGAAGAAAATGCCCCACACACTCGGGGAGTTGCTCTGATGCTGTCCAAAGAAGCACGTATTGGATGGGCATCTCACGGATCCAGAATCATTAAAGCATTTTTCAAAACAAAGGAGGGAATCACAATAAGTGTTATCCAGTGTTATGCAACCACCAGTGACAGCAGCGACGACGATAAAGATCAGTTTCACAAGAGGTGCTGATCAATCGCAGCGAAGTGCCCAGGAAAGGACCTCACCATCTGATGGAAGACTTAAACGCCAAAGTCGGAATGGACAACACCAGGTATGAAGATATTCTGGAACGACAGAGATTGGGAGGAAGAAATGAGAATGGTGACAGATTTACAAATTTATATGCATCCAACAAAATGGTTATAGACGGCACCACATTCTCATACAAACGCATACACAAGACTACATGGATCTCGCCGGACCACACCACGGAGAACCAGAACGATCATATTTATATCAATAAAAAATTCAGAAACCCAGTAGAAGACGTGAGAACCAGGGGAGGAACTAACATTGCTTCAGATCACCACCTGGTGGTTGCCAAGATGAAACTGAAGCTAAAGAAGCACTGGACAAAGAGCATTACAATCATTCAATACAGCCTTCCTTAGATATACTGAAAAACTCAACCAATTCAAGATAACTCTCAACAGCAGATTCCAAGCCTTACAAGATCTACTCAAAGAGAAAATTACCATGAAGAACAACTGGAAAGAAATCAAACAAGCACCAACTTAAATGTAACAGGAAGTGTTCGGCCCCAAGAAGCATCATCATAAGGAATGGATCTTTATGGAAACCCTGAACAAGATTTAAGAAAGGAAAATAGCAACTAATAACAGTCGAACAAGAACAGAAAGTCAAGGCACAAGTTGAATACACAGAAGCAAACAAGCAAGTCAACAAGAGCATTAGAACTGACAAGCAGAAATACGTGGAAGACCTAGCAACGGCAGTGGCAAAAGCTGCAAGCGAAGGAAATGTGAAACAACTATATAACACGACGAAGAAACTAGCAGGAAAATATAGTAAACCAGATAAACTGTTCAAGGACAAAGCCAATTCAATCACTGAAATTCAAGAATAGAGGAACAGATGTGTAGAATACTTCGAGGAACTCTTGAATAGACCTGCTCCATTGAATCCACTGTATATCGAAGCAACGTATACAGACCTTCATATGGATGTCACTCCACGAACGATCGAAGAAGCCAGGATGTCCACCAGACAAATCAACAGTGGGAAAGCAGCAGGACCTGATGATATACCAGCGGAAGCACTGAAGTCAGACTTAGAAGCAACTGCGAACATGCGCCACATTCTATTTAGGAGGATTTGGGAAGAGGGACATGTGCCGACAGACTGGAAAGAAGGATACCTCATCAAAATACCAAAGAGAGGAGATCCGAGCAAGTGTGAGAATTACAAAGGCATCACATTAATGTCAGTACCAGGAAACCCGATGAAAGACACCCGACTTCGAGATCAACAGACCAGATTCCGTAAGAATCGGTTGTGCACAGATCAAATCGTGACACTATGGATCATCGTTGAACAATCAACTGGATGGAATTCGTCA